TGAAATCAAGTTAAGGTGAAATTAATCAAATTAAAACATGGCTGAGAGGGAGTACAGTATTCGGTAGTCATGGGCAGTAGTCTGAGCCGCGGTAAAGGAGGCGGCCACGCAAAGTAATTACGTCATGACGCCCAAGCCCTATTTGTTTAGAAAGTAAACTTTTTAAATCTGAGATTCTTCAGCTCATAGCCAGATGATTAAAGCTCGTCTAACCGAACCAAACAGGCGTGGATCCAGACTGTGTCTTCTATAAACAAACGTCAACAAGCAGGGGAGGAGCCTGTGTTTATCCCCAAACAAGCGTAAGGTGACACACAAAAACAAGGCTGACCAAAACAAACAGGTCGGTTCCGATTGTCCCGTCGTCCAGAAGACTGGGAGCCAAAAACGGCGACCAATCAGGCTCCAGCTGGTTTGTCTGATCAACACGTTTCAACCCTCAGCTTTGTTTTTGTTTCTTTTTAGTATTTATCTAGCAGGCTGTTGGATCTTCTACGCTGCAGAACATCCTCTGAAGTCTTTCAATGTTTTATTTTGGTTTTGACTTCTATGTTGTTTTTTTTGCATTCTGTGGTCTTTTTTTAGTAATAGGTTTACTTTTAACCTAACAGGTCTTTATTCGAAGCTTTTTCAAAACCAATACATACGTAATATTTTTCCCCAAGTTCACAAGAAGGAATTTGTTGATAAGTCACAGATGAGTAAGTGTCTGTCACCGTTTAGCCCACACGTAGCCTTATTATGCAGCAATAGTTTGAAATTATGAAGGATTTTTTAAATGTGGCGACTTTCTAAAACCTGTTGACTCAACTGTTTTGATCAGTGGAAATAATCTCTGTTGGCATCAGTAGATGGGATTCCAGAAAATGAGTCTGTTGTGATGAAACGGCTCCTTTCTTCCAGTCAGTATGGATCAGAGGCTTGTTTCTGACTTTTAGAATAAGAAGGAGTATTTTCATACAAGAAACGATGCTGTCGTTCTTTAACTTTGACAAACTGACAGAAGAACGGGAGGTTTTCCCTCCTCCACCTGTTGCTGCAAAGCACCAGTCAACCGGCTAAAATGAAAACTTTATTTCCTGGCTTTTAGGTAAACGTCAGTCAGTGCAGAGTTTTGTTGTTTGTTAAAAAGGCTTTCTCTCGTAATGACGACTTCAAGGCAGCGCCTGTATGAACAAACGTGTCACTTTCCCCTTCACTCTGATTTTTCTGGTTCTTAAGTTATGATGAGGGTCCACCTGCAAACTTCACCTTTGGCTCCAGTGTTTGTGGGCTGATGTGCTGAACTGTTCCTCCTCATAACGAAGCGTGTGCATCAACATTCAAAGAGTTTAGCTTTAGCTTTAGCCTCGTCCATCCAGGGCCGTTTCTCCTCACAGGCTATTATACAATTACACTCTCTGATTGTCACAGTTTGTTTCCTCTTCCTTTATTCTTTCCTCTTTCCAGACATAGACAGCCAAATTAGCTCATGTAGAAGCTAAATTTTAAAAATACTCAAATTGTTTTTTTGTTGTTTTTTTTCAGTTGATAGAAGTAGAAGCAAAAAATGAAGGGTTGGTTCTCCTCCCACAGCAGCGTGTCGCAGATATTTTCTATTTGTGCCCAATTTTGAAGGTTGCGCTATGTTATTCCACGCCACAACGCAAGAGGGACAATCAGGAACTAGCCGTGGTCTAGATACGACCGAGGTGGTGAGAAAGTGGGGGCAAGTTTTTGCGACAATGGAGGGACAAGAGGGGGAAAAATAGCAGGGATCCAGGTGGAAAAACGGTCCCAGGGTTCTCACGCACCTCGCTCTTCTAGCTGGTCCATCTTTATGGCGGTCATACAAACAAAGCAAGCCGGTAAGGTACCAAACAGGAAATACGCATAGTATAGAGAGGATGTAGATTTGACCAATCAGAGGCCTCCTGTCTGCGGCACTCTCTAGGGCAGTATTTTTCAAACCTGGTCCTCAAGGCACCCTGCCCTGCATGTTTTAGATGTTTCCCAGCTTTCATACAGCTGTTATCAATTGATAGCAGATTATCAGGCTTTGCTGAACTGCAATCATCTGAATAAGGTGTGCTGAACCTCAGAAACATCCAAAACATGCAGAGCAGGGTGCCTTGAGGACCAGGATTCAAAAAAAACACTGGTCTACGGTCACCTACAATTTTGGAGAGGTGCACCAAAGTGTCTGCAGCAGGGGCAGGGGCACATTTGCGTTCACTGTGACTCACGCAGACAACCTGGTTTGTGAGTATAAACCAGCCTTTAGAGTGCTTAATGAATATAAGTGCAAACAGTTCCCCTTTCTAACTATTGTTCCAGCTTAAGTCCTACTGTTCAAATGAACATCCTGGAAATGATGGGGTGATATATCAGGGTTCTCAACAGCGTATTTCAGCGTAGAGGGTAATTTGTCCCCGCTACACTGATATTCAGCCCCCTACGCTAATTTTCCCGTCCTCAGGGCTCCCTCCAGCACATTTTAGCACAAACACTAATTACACTGAAAGTTGTAAAAATGACAACAGAATCCAGTCCACACGCCAACTTTTGAAGAGCGTAACGGCTGCAGTGTTTTTAAACACTTATTTTCCTGTATAGGAAAGAGAAAAGTGCTGTGAAAACATGAATGCCGTGCCGCTCAGACTCTGTCATCGTCTAACCCGTAGAGCCTGCAGGCAGGTGATCTCATGCGCTGCCGCCCTGCTAGCAGACACAGAGCCAGCTTAGAAAGGATGTTTACAGGCTCTAAGGGATTTCCACTGAGTTTTTTTTTTTTTTTCTCCACCCAATAAAAAGCAGCATTGCTGCTCTGATGCGAAGCCGCCTTCCCTCAGCTCCAGGTGGAACAGAGCAACGTCTCTGGGTCAGTTGGACATTTCACACTTTATAATTAACTACTCTACAGTAATAGCCATAGCTGGTCCCCTACAATTCATTTTTAAACATCGATCTTTGTGCTAAAATATTCTTCTGTCATGATTTATGGACATTCAGATCTAAAGAGAAGCGTCATCTCCTGGTCAGACTCTGTAATTCAGTGAAAGGTTGGAGACAGAGTAAAAAAATTGCGCTCCCAGGAGACGGCCAGTGGCTGGAAGTGGGATGGGATTTGGCTGGGAGCTGCAGGGAAGTGGGCTGCCATTCGGCTGGTGTTTGACTGAATGTTTGATCGAATGGCTGCTACCGTATATACATTTTTGGGTTTTAAACAGTCAGGTATTAGGTGTATTTATCTGGCACAGAATGGACCGGTAGATTGGGAGATACTT